ACTCTCCCTCTTCCCCACGGTGCACACGCGTGCCCGACTCTCCCTCTTCATGGTGCACACGCGTGCCCGACTCTCCCTCTTCCCTATGGTGCACACGCGTGCCCGACTCTCCCTCTTCCCCACGGTGCACACGCGTGCCCGACTCTCCCTCTTCATGGTGCACACGCGTGCCTGACTCTCCCTCTTCCCCACGGTGCACACGCATGCCTGACTCTCCCTCTTCCCCTTGGTGTCACGCGTGCCCGACTCTCCCTCTTCATGGTGCACATGCGTGCCCGACTCTCCCTCTTCCCCATGGTGCACACGCGTGCCCGGCTCTCCCTCTTCATGGTGCACACGCGTGCCCGACTCTCCCTCTTCATGGTGCACACGCGTGCCCGACTCTCCCTCTTCCCCACGGTGCACACGCGTGCCCGACTCTCCCTCTTCCCCATGGTGCACACGCGTGCCCGGCTCTCCCTCTTCATGGTGCACACGCGTGCCCGACTCTCCCTCTTCATGGTGCACATGCGTGCCCGACTCTCCCTCTTCCCCACGGTGCACACGCGTGCCCGACTCTCCCTCTTCCCCACGGTGCACACGCGTGCCCGACTCTGCCTCTATCATGTTCAGGCTCGGCAGGGCTTGTGGTGAGCATATCAGCAGCCGACAGTCACAATGCATCAGCCCCGAGGCAAGTTTGGGGGCCCTGTGAGTCCCTGGGAGCCAGTCTCCCCAGTTCCCCAGCTGCCTGCCCGGCTCAGGGCCCCGGACCTGTCCCCGTGTGAGCAGCCGGTCGGGGACACGGAGGGGGCTGCACGCCCACCCCTTGGGGGCGAAGGCGGCGGGGGTGGCAGAGCCGCTGCCCCTCCTCCTCCCCGGCGCCTGAGCTCCGCCCCCGCCCCGCCCCTGCCCCCCGCCCAGCCTGGGGGTCCTCTTACTTGTGTGGGCGCAGCCCCCCACGCGCACCTGGGCATCATCGATTCTGAACGCCCAGCGCCCGGGCACGCCCACGTTGGTGGTGCTCTCCACGTCAGCCATGTCCGCGGTGCGGGAGCCGGGGATGTTGAAGTAGCGCTGCCCGTCGCCCGCGTTGAAGCCTGCCTGGGGGGGGGGACAGCCGTGGGCGCGGGCTCCGGCAGGGCCGGCACCCCCCCCGGCCTCCCGCAGGATGGCCTTGCCCGGCCTCTGCTGACATCAGGATGGGCCCGTCGGGGCCTGACTGCAGCCCCGGTTCCTCCAGCCAGGCCCTGTCCCCTCCCCACGCCCCACCGATGGGAGCGGGGCGAAGGGGGGCGTCTGGACCCGGCAAAAGCCACTGGGCGGGAGGCGGGGTCGGAGGCGGGGC